GTGCTTTGGGAGGCCAAGGTTGGAGGACTACTTGAGGCCAGGAGTTTGACACCAGCCTGGGTAACATAGGGAGACTCTATCTCTACAAAAAAAATTAAAAAATTTTAGCTGAGCATGTGGTACACACCTCTTGACCCAGCTACTTGGGAGGCTGGGAAGGGAGGATCGCTTGAGCCCAGGAGTTGGAAGCTGCAGTGAGCTATGACAGTGCCACTGCACTCTAGCCTGGGCGACAGAGCAAGATCCTGTCTCTCTAAAAAATTTAAAATTTAAAATATTTTTTTAAAGGAGAAAGAAGAGTTTATTTTTTGGGAGAAATAAAGGAATTCATAACTAGTAAAGACTTCTATGTACCAAGTACTTCTCTGCCACTACACTACAAAGCAGATGTCACTATTCCCTCATTTTGGATGAGGGAATTGAAATGCAGGGATGTTAAAAAGCCAGCCCACAATCAAGCAGGTGGGCAATGACACAGCTGTGTTAGAAACCGAAATCCTACTGATCCCCTCAAATCTATCTTTTTTCCTGCTATAGTATGCTGCTTTCTAAACCTGCTTCACAATGTAATTTTCAGAAACAAATTTCACAGTAAAAATGATGGCAAACCTTGAATTTTTTTCCCTTAATTTCTCCCGGATCTGTTAATCCAACCTTTGCCTTATAAAAGGAATAAAGAAAGAAAAGAAAAAAGAGAAAGCGGTCTTTATGGAATGGTTAGGGAATATTTAAAAGGATCTAAAGCTATTGTGTTAAGAGGTTTTCTTGTCTTTTAGTTTGTTAAACACACCACTTTTTAGTTCTCAAGTCTTTACATCATAAAATATTACTCAAAGGGGTAGTTTAAAACTGCATGTAAATGACTTGTTGAAAGCATTAAAAAAGGAAAGTTTCAAATGCCATCTAAAATACTTGTTCCATTAGGAAAAATAACAAAATAAAATCCCCTTAGCTTAGAACTACTGGAGTCAACTTTATTACCTACCTTTCCAAAGAAGCAACTATGTGTCATAATGTATCATACACTATAGAGTCAAGTATATAGACACTTGAACACTTACGGAAAACTGGACAACATTTTATTGCCATCACATCCTTTTATTTATTTATTTTTTTAAAGATAGTTTCTCCCTCTGTCACTCAGGCTGAAAAGCAATAGTGCCATCACAGCTCACTGTGTCCTTGACCTCCTGGGCTTAAGAGATAATCCCAACTCAGCCTTCCAAGTAGCTGGGACCACAGGTACACACCACCACACTTGGCTAACTTTTGTATTTTTTGTAGAGATGGGGTCTTGCCATGTTGCCTAGGTTACTGTTGAATTCCTGAGCTCAAGTGATCTGTCCACTTTGGCTTGCCAAGGTGCTGGGATTACACACATGAGCCACTGTGCCTGGCTGCATCACATACTTTTAAAAGGAAAGCAACAGGCAGGAGAAAGCAATCTTTTTGATAGGGCATCTATAAGGTTTTGAAAGCAAAGTAATTACAATTTTTAAAAAAGTCTTAACTTTTATGTATGAAAGTGGACGACTTCTTTAAAAAAAGGAAAACAGTAGCAGCCCATCAGTATTTTACAAGAATTTAGAGATTAAGGGCATTAAAGTCTAGTGGATAAAATCGACTGAATTCCAATTGGTTCAATTCCTACTGGTTCTGTGACTTTGGGCAAGGCACTCTGCCTCACTTTCTTCATCTGAAAAATGGGGATAATAATTCTAATAGTGGTTGTGAGGATTAAATGAGCTAATATATGTAAGGCACTTAGAGTATTCATAGAGACAATGCTTTATTTCTTTCTACCAGTCTTCATAACAGACAAAGAAATAAAATAATTTTAACTAATGTCAGCTAACAAAAATTTTTAGAGATGCCATAAAATATGCTACAATTAGTAAAAGTTAAATATTTTACTGAGGCTATCATGAGATAAATTTTGGTTTAGTAAGAATGTCTAGAGGATATTATAATTCCTGATATACTCTGCTGTCTGAGGGTATACAGTAAGTAAACAGTTGTGGAAAGTAAAAAAGTTCCTCCTCAAAGTTTCCCTTGTTAAAGAATAATAATAACAAATGTTAGAAATGATAGTTTCTTTTAAAGACTTTCTTCAAAGCCTTCTTGCTTTTTTTTTGAGAGTTACTTCCGCTAGCAACTCTTTGTTAACCCTATCCTATGTAGCTGTGAGGTATTAGGGAATAAGTATATTCTATGTCCTGTACTTTAACCGAGATATTTGTGCTGGACATGCTCATGGGCATGCAGTACATTCTATGTCTTTGTACTTTTTTTTTGAGACAGAGTATCTCTCTGTTGCCTAGGCCAGAGGACAATGGCACAATCTCGGCTCACCGTAACCTCCCCTCCCGGGTTCAAGTGATTCTCTTGCTTCAGCCTCGTGAGTAGCTGGGATTATAGGTGCCCCCCACCACACCGGCTAATTCTTGCATTTTTAGTAGAGATGGGGTTTCACCATGTTGGTTAGGCTAGTCTCAAACTCCTGACCTTGTGATCCACCCACCTCAGCCTCCCAAAGTGCTGGGATTACAGGCATGAGCCACTGTGCCTGGCCTACGTCCTTGCACTTTAACCAAGATATTTGTGCTGGACATGCTCACAGGCACATCCCAGCTCGCAACCTATGCCCCTTCCTTATTTGGAAATGTTATTATTTTTTAAGTCCTTTCCCAAGCAACTTCCTCTTTTCCTTTGTTCTCCATTGCTTTACCTATTCAGGAAAGTTTTAAGTTATTAGCCAATCAGGTTTAGCTTAGACTGTGAGGTCCAGCTCCAACCAATGGTGATCAGACACAGCGACAAGAACCCAATGCATAAGGGATAAATATGCCTGCCTTTCTTTTGTTCAATGTACTCTTGCGGCAAGACTGCTGATAAGCAGTACCCTTTCTGCAGAAAGTAAAATTGCCTTGCTGAGAAAACTTTGTCTGAATGCCAATTTTTCCTTGCGGCATCTAGGAACAAGCATTCTGTCTCTAACAACAGTAAATTTTCATTTTATAATGTGTCTCACAAAATACCAAAGACTGGGAAAAGTCCAGTAAGCTGTTTGACTATAAAATCTGTTCCAACTTGAAAACGGTATCCAAGATAGTAGTTTGGGTAAACTATAGTATGTTTCCCCTACTCCCAAATCACATAAAGCTTCTGGAACTTAGAATGGAAGTCTTTTTCTTATAAAATGTATTTTCAACTGCATGTGGGTTGTTATGATTCAGTTTCTCAAAAGGTGATTAAGTATTCTCTACCACAGTGTTACCTCAACCTCTGGCTTTCTTAGGGACTCCTTTATTTCCAAGCACACTAGCTAGTGTCAGAATTACTTTTCCTTACAATAACCTGACAAAGCAAAAGCACAAAGAAGAAAAGAAATAAGAAACTAGATAAAAAAATACTTCAATGATATACGCCACTGGTTTTCAAACAGGGTCTAAGGATCGGTCAGTAGCTCATATGAATCTTGCTCGTGCTTTGCATGTAATAGTCTAGGCTACTCACTTCTCTACTGACTTCATGGAAGAAGAGCACTGAGAAATCCTTATTTTGCCTCAGGTTTTGCTTTTCAGAAGGAAGGAAACTGTGTGACACTCAAGGGAGACAGATAAGAAATCACTGAGTATTCAAGGAAGAAGAGTGAAGGTGATCAGAGAATTGAAGAATCTTTGCATTGGCAGGCACCTCTGAAGTAACTTCGCTCAACCCTATTTGCAGGGCAGCATCCTCCTCACAGTACCTCGGAGAGATGGTCCATCAGCCTCTGCCTAAATATCTCCAATGACAAGGATCTTTACTTTCTTGAGTCTGCTTGATCCAAGCCAGAAGTCTGGGATACATCATAGATTCTTCACATCATCCAACCTTGTGTATTTTTCCTCTTAAATATCTCTCAAATCTGTCCACTGTCCCCCCTCCCACTATCTTAGCTGAGGCCTCCCTTTCTCGGCCCTTTGTGTGGTCCTGCAATAGTATCTAACTACCAAATTTCCTGCTACCAAATAATCCACATTCACATGGCAGCCTGCAGAGTGGATATTTTAAAAAACAAATCTAATTGTGTTATTCCTCTGCTTACAACCTAGGCTGGGTGTGGTGGCTCACACCTGTAAGCCCAGCACTTTGGGAGGCCAAGGCAGATGCATCACCTGAGGTCAGGAGTTGGACACCAGCCTGGCCAACATGGTGAAACCCCATCTCTAGTAAAAATACAGAAATTAACTGGGCACGGTAGCAGGCGCCTGTAATCCCAGCTACTCAGAAGGCTGAGGCAGGAGGATAACTTGAACCCAGGAGGCAGAGGTTGTAGTGAGCTGTGATTGTGCCATTGCACTCCAGCCTGGTGGATGAGTGAAACTTTGTCTCAAAAAAAGAAAAAAAAAACAAAAAACAAAACTTTGATGGCTCACTATCACAAACAGCCAAAAAAAAAAAAAAAAAAAAGTCTAAGTTTTTGCCTGAAATGCATGATATTGGCATGAAATGCATGATATTCACATTTCAGCAACACTAAATGTTTCTGGTGCCTACATGAACTGAGCTGTTTTGCATCTCTACGATTTTGCTCATATTGTTGCCTCTGATTGGAATATTCTTTCTCCCCTCTGTCAACTAGTTAAATCGGTTCAGGAATTATCTCTAGAAAGGCATCTTTTGACACTCTCCTCTGTGCAATATTAAAAATATCCCATGTATTTATGGTATCACACTGAAACCATGAATAAGTTCACCCCTTTCCCCCCAGGTGAGTCCCTCAAAGCTGGGTGTTAATAACCCTTAGCATTTGGCACAGGGCTCATGGTTGCAGGTACTTAATACATGCCTAGTAAATACCAGAACTTTTTTCTGATACGACTTGAAATTTATAACTCCAATAGTCCAACTTCTGCTTCGTGGGGCAATAAACACCATCTCTCCAAGAAAACAGAACATTTGGCTAGTACATAAAAATGCAGTTTAAATACTACTTATTGGACATTTGCACTTACCTAAGTTGCTGTATGTTGCACTACAAGGGTTCGGGTCCAGAGGATCCGAAATGTCTTCTTTTCCCTCTTCCCTTTCCAGTTCAGGTAGGGACAATGCTGTTGTGGCTGAAGTGCAGCCCCCGTCATCTTGCTTCCCAACAACAGTTTTTGGATCCCGAGGAGAAAAATCTTCTGTTACTTCATGGGTCATGTGACTGAAACAAATCGGACCACTTGTCACACTGGTATTGAAAGGTTCTACTGAAGTTTAGATTTATGGAAGGCATCCACTTCCCACAAATGTAAATAACTGGTCCTATAGTCACAGTAATGGGTCATAAGCCCCAATACACTTATCTGAACACAAGGCAGTACTTCATCTAGGCTGATACTTCCATTTATCTTGATTCATACATATTGAGAACCCAATTTGATGGAGCAGTTATGGTAGCCTGCAAGGGAGCTTGAGAATAACAGTCAAGAGTGGAACATTTTATTTAGATGGGAGGTGGTGATGCTGGTGGTAGAAGGAGCTGAATGTTTAACTGGATAAAGACAAATATACTCAAGTATTTAGTAAAGTATTTGCCATACTTACTAATTATAGTACTCTAATACTATGATAAATATCAAATACTTTACTATAAAGTTTGATTTAATATATAGTATTTAGTACACACTAAAGTGTATATGCTGTATTGCTGTATGTTGCATTACAAGGGTTCGGGTCCACAGGATCTGACATGTCTTCTTTTCCCATTTCCCGCTCCAGTTCAGGTAGTGTGTAGTACACTAAAGTGTGTACTAAATCAGGATCAAGAATAAAGTTGAGATTAAACTATCTACATAAGGAAGTTAAGCCATTGTTTTAGTAGGTCAACTGAGGCCAGGAAGATCTTGTTGCCAAGAGAATGGAAGCATCAACCTTTGCCTGTATGCATGCAGCAGGGAAGACAAATGGAAAAGAAAGTTCTGCAGTCTAGTTAATCTCATTTATTAAAATGAATCTGAGGCACTTGCTGGCCACATACCAGTATATGACCAATCTTGTTTTACCATTGCCTGCTCACATGCTTATAGCTACCTCTTCTTGTCTTCCCCACTCCCCAATCTACCTGAACTGTGCCAATTCTGTTGCTGGTGGAGAAAACTGGCCTAGTTAGAAAATCTCAATGGGCTGGTCAATGAAATGAACTCAAAATCATGCATCTTTAAAGGTTGCTGGGCCCACTGATTGTATTCCTAGATTATCACACATTCATCAGCTGTTTTTTTCTGGTTTCTTTATGAAAAAGAGAAAGAAGGAAGGAAAAGAAACTTCTATATGATTACAGGTTATCTGTGGATTTTCAATTGGCAGTGAGTCATGGTGACATTTATCAGTTTCTTTAAAAGAGGTACTTTTTTTGATCGTGTGCCATCAGAACATATATTGCCTGTGGATTTAAGGGAGTAGATCTAAAGGCGAAGGAGTACCCTCTTATCAATTTTTCATTATGGAAATTATGCATGTGCCTGGACAGAAAAATAAGCCTTGATGTCTGCTGGATACACAACTTCAAAAATATCCTTTCAAAGCTGGCAGGGCCAGAGGTATCTCTATGCTAGGAATAAACAATGAGCTGGAAGTTCTGTTAGGGGATCTGGCTCTTGGGGATAGTGGTGAGGTTGGAAGGAATCACTCTTCTAGCAGTTAAGAGAGTAGCATATATAAAGGAGGCCTCACACAGTAAGGCATACTGCCTCTTCTCGATGGGCTGCCCTCAGTCAACAACCCAAAGGAGGGGCTCCACACAAAGCTGGTTTTTTCATAATATGGAGCACCATAAAATCAAGGTAACATGGGGGCTCTATCTCCATGAATTAGCAAAGACAAAACAAAGTGACACCTCCAAGACACTCAGGCACCACTGTGTGTCAAGACTGAATATTACTGAGTAGTTATCAACGTGCTTCAAGAAAGGGAAAATGTTCTTTGCTGGAAAACATTAATAGAAACCATTTCTAGTTTCAAAGCAATATACATAAAGTGCCTTAAAAATATCAGCTTTCCTGGGCAGGCGCGGTGGCTCATACCTATAATCCCAGCACTTTGGGAGGCTGACGTGGGCGGATCATGAGGTCAAGAGATCGAGACCATTCTGGTCAATATGGTGAAATCCCGTCTCTACTAAAAATACAAAAATTAGCTGAGCATGGCGGTGCGCACCTATAGTCCCAGCTACATGGCAGGCTGAGGCAGAAGAATCTTTTGAAACTGGGAGGTGGAGGTTACAGTGAACCGAGATCGCACCACTGCACTCCAGCTTGGTGACAGAGTGAGACTCCGCCTCAAAAAAAAAAAAAAAAAAAAAATCAGTTCCCCCAACTTAAAGAAAAAAATGTTATAGCTCCAGACATTTCTTGTTCTAAAGTCAGCTTTAGAGGTTTCCTAAATAGCTGCTTCTTGGCTCCTAATCTTTTCAAACTTACTCTTGCCTTTTTTTTCCTCCATGTCCTGGTTATTACTAAAAGAAAGTGTTCCTTTCCATTTGTCAAAAAGGGTTGGTGAAGGGTTCAGAAGTCATGATTCCATCCTCACTTGCCTGTTTTCATCCTAGGCAATGGGCTATTAACAACAAAGCTCAGCTACAGTGAAAACCACAGAAAGAGCTGCTGTGATGAACCTGAGGAACTCACTGGGCTCTGTACTTCGAAGGGTTTCACAAAACAAAACATGAATACTAAAAGCAAGAAATATTTAAAAACTCACCTGCTGTACTCACTAACACAATTCCCCATTAAAGGAAATTTTCACAGGGCCTTCTTGAGTCTGTTAATTATGCTCTGAAACTCAGATAAACCACAGATTCCACTGAGTTCTGGAGAGCTACAAGTTGGGCAAACCATGAGGAAAGGTTTGAATTCTGTTCCTTAATATCACTCACTGCACCTTGACCCTTACCTTACTGGTTTGGTCTGGGAAATGTGCCAAATTACCTTTGGGGAGCTAAAGCAAAGTGAAAGCTAGTTTTATTAACTCTTTGTGGACTAAAGCAGCACAGACTATATTCAAGATAAAGACTGTTTTTTATGAGCACATTTTATATAAGTGCACTGGTATATTAAATCACCAATAATATAAAGGCAACTCTAAAGAGCTATGCAAATAGAGCTGAAAAAGTAAAATCACATGGATTTGCAAATGGATGCTATAATCTGCATTTACAGTGACAGCAGTCTCCAAAAGTAGTAAGAATTTTAAAAATACATCAATGATATGTCATGTCTTAATGCTTGAAGGAAAAATAGCTCTTTGTATGATTCAAATGAAGAGACGGGAAAAGGGAGAGGTTCTGAGAGTTCAAGGTTAGATATAATAACATACTGTGACTAAAAAATTAAAACACTGAGAAAAGTATCAGAGAAGGTTGGTTCCGTCATGATGTATAAATAACATAAACAGATAAATCGTTCAGAAAAAAAGAAAAAAGGAAAATTTTTGATTAATTTATCATTAGGCACACTAATTTAGTAAGAGAATTTAAGGCCAGGCGCGGTGGCTTATGCCTATAATCCCACCACTTTGGGAGGCTGAGGCAGGTGGATCACCTGAGGTCAGGAGTTCGAGACCAGCCTGGCTAACATGGAGAAACGCTCTTTCCACTAAAAATACAAAAATTAGCTGGGCATGGTGGGCACCTGTAGTCCCAGCTACTTGGGAGGGTGAGGCAGGAGAATGGCTTGAACCTGGGAGGCGGAGGCTTCAGTGAGCCAAGATGGCACCACTGCACTCCAGTCTGGTGACAGAGAGAGACTCCGTCTCAAAATAAAAAGGGGGGAATTTAATTTTTTACCATTGATTTGTTCCATATTTGGACATAAAATCAGAAAACTCTCTCAAATACTAAAGTAACACTTTACAAATATCTTATTGGGAGATGTTTAATGTGATGGAGAAAACAATAAAATGGGAATTTGAACCTGGGTGCTGTTTCCCTATTACTCTGATTTACTGAACAGACTTGATGACGGCATCATGAAGGAGTTAATGGAGAAAATAAAAATTTCCCCCATTTCATCCATGAGACAGGTGGTAAAAAAATTCTTTAGAATGAAAATTATAAGAAATCTGTGAGAATTTCTTATACACATGTTAGCACATGTTTTAAACTGGCAAATAATGACTAGCGTATCTAGTTTTTTTTCCAGGCTAAGTACAATTTGATATTCATTACTATAAAACAGAATTGTTAAGTGACAAATAGCCCACTAAGAGGAAGTTATGGCTTTTATATTTCTGCTATTTAAGTTCATGTTGAAACACCCCTATTTCCCTAATAACTATGGTGTTGTTACCTAGGTCCTTGATCTGTAGGTTGGGTCAAACTCTGATTTGGCCTACTCTTTGTCCTGAACCCTCAGCATTCCTTCTTTCATAGACAGACAACACAGAAGACAACATATGTTGGACCATACTTTAAACTCTTCAACCAACTTTCCACTTATGAACAGTTTTTAATTGAGATTTGGCATGTCTGACCTGATACTTATAAATCCATGTTACAATCTCCACAAGGACAAATCATTTTCTGAACATGCATAATGAATATAAGGTGTTCAAAGGAAATAGTTACATTGTTACAGATTTGTCTGTTATACAAAGGAATCCTTTGGAAGGCTGTATTTCATCAGTCCACCCTATTCATACATAAATCAAAGCTGCAGTCTCCTATGGGAAGCTCACTTGGTTTACCCAGGTGGTAGGGATTAATCATTACACCACCAAATGAAATAATCCTTTTACTTTTCCTAGCAAATTCACTCAAGACAGATTTTTTGGTAAAAAGTCTGTTAAACGTCTGAATGTACTTTTTAAAAAGGCAAATCAAATTCCACATTAGAATAGGTTAAAGGCCTTTACATATCTAAGTATTTCCACAATTTCAGTTCAATCCGATCTTCAAATTCAACCATCTTCATTCAGCTTCAGAAGGGACAGGTAAGTGAAATCTGACTTCTACAGAGACTACCTGACTCTTGGGGCAAATGGTCTGAGTTCCGTTTGTTAGCTCTCTCCAGCAGGTACACAAGTCTCTAGTTGCCCACAACAGCTAATAAGCAAATGTGTGACTTTTCAAACCTCCTTTTACCCCTAAAAATCAGATGAACGCATGTTAGAAATAAAATGTCATCATTTTGTTACTGGTTTCCAGAGCTTCGTATTTCTGGGGTT